CTTGTGGGTTGAGGTATGTCTCTCGAGCAGTCTGTAAATATCTTGTATGATAATAGTTTTAAAATCTACAGGTTGTTTATGTCAGATATCTCTATTTGGGTATACATAATCCATCTGTATACTTTCTTACACAGCACCGACAGTCACTCGTGCTGCACTTTGAGATTTGGCCGTGCAAATATCAAAGCTGGGTGGCGAAAGCTCAGTAAGAATGCGTTTTCTTTTTTACACGGAAGAAATGGAATGCATTCTTCGGTTAAAATACTAGAACACAATACGCAAGAGTCAAGGAGGGATATAAATGTGCAGAGGAATACACCAAAAATGTTGAGAAAAATATGTTTTAATAACGATAAACAACAAGATAATTAACAGTTAAGAAACATATGAAAGGTGCATTCTTTGGGTCTTTCGGTAAAGTCACGTAGATAAAGTCACGGAGGTAAAAAAATAAAATTTATAAAGGTAAAATTACTTTTATTAATTTAATAAAATTACTTTTATTAATTTTAATTTTAATTTTTTACCTACGTGACTTTAACGAAAAAACCCAAGAATATGAATCCTTGCAGTCACGAAAGCTTCAAATCTAGAATCACGTAGATAAGTTCAAATAAAATAACCTATCTACGTGACTTTACCGAAAGACCGAAAGAATATGAATTCCTGCAGTCACGAAAGCTTTAAGTCAAAATGTATATGAAAGGTGGTCAGTGGCTTAGTGAAATGCACCATGAATTCGACTACTCGAGTTTAATTCCCAGCAATGGCCAACATTGGTGGTAGGTGATATCCGAACCGGTCTTGGGAATCCCCATTTAGCGCCCCACACAAACTCGTGTGGTGAAGTAAGGTCAAACAACCTCCATTGCTACTGACATGGCATGGACTGACTTTCCTCTAACAGTGTAATACAAATCTACATGGCATTTTACCTCAGCATTTTCACACAGGTTGTTTATTTATGTTTCCATTCCGCAGACTTTTAGCAAGGAGAGTGAAATTAGGGTGCTCCGCATCATATTTTGGAAATGTTACCTGTCCGGTTATTGTTCTTGTGCCCCAACGACTATTACAAAGATAAGGGCAGCACAAGGGCTTTGTCGAACAAATTAACCAACTTTTGCGAATGCTGCGAATGAATGAGCGCATTCATGGCTGTGGTTTAATAAACGGTGTCCCGAGCGATATGGCAGAACCCCGAGACACGGTGTCTCCAAGCCAACACTTTAATTACATTTTTTTTAAACAAGGGCGGCAAACTGAACCTCAAATCACAAATGACTAGTGTTCGAATCGCTGACATCTTATCCAGATAAATCACCCAAATGGGTCTTTTAAAACCGTTTTGAACTTTTAAAGCTTTTTAATGTAGGTGAGCGTAAGGATAAGGGTTTTTGCATTTATTGGGTGCTTAAATGCCGTGGCATCTCAAAGTGCCTCACAACACACAAAGCCACAAAAATTCAAAACATGACCGTGGTAAAAAAGAAAATTTTAAGAGAGGAACGAACGAAGCATGAAAGATAATTCCACGATGAACGAGAGACTATCACAGACATGAGCGGCAATCAACATCCCAAGCACACACAGAGGGTCAACGTTAAATAATTATGATGCTAAATATATTTGAACATAATTACGTACCGATAAAAAATCATCAGGTCGGCAAAATTTACAAAGGCTGGGGTGATAAGTGCTGGCGCAGTGGCTTGCGTCCTGCACCGTGAACTTGCCCTCCTAGGTTCGATTCCTACTCGTGGCCGGTCATCATTGGCTAGTGATGTCTTCATTGATTTCTGGTCCACCTCTTCACCAACCCCCCCTGACCACTATGGTTAAACAACTCCCCCATGTCTTCTTGGTTCTTTCGGTAAAGTCACGTAGAATGGAAATAATAAAATAATAAAAATAAAACATAATAAAATAATTCTCACGACGTTTCGGCCACAACACAAGCAGCCATCCTCAGGTGAAGAACAGACCTGAGGACGGCTGCTTGCGTTGTAGAACAGACCTGTTTTTCACCTGAGGACGGCTGCTTGCATTGTGGCCGAAACGTCGTGAGAATTATTTTATGATGTTTTATTTTTATTATTTCCATTCTACGTGACTTTACCGAAAGAACCAAGAAGATGAATCCCTGCAGTCACGAAAGCTTTAAATCGAAACTCCCCCATGGTTGACGCGGGGCGTGGGGAGGCTTTCATCCGGCAGTGGATTGTTAAAGAGCTGTCCAGATTGCAGAGGCGACCCATCATGTGTCCTAGGAGAAGGCGCTGTAAATTTCATTGTTGTGTACACGTGGCAATTTCCCGGTGAGGTTCAAAATGCAGCATGACCTTCGAAACTGGGACAGAACGCATGAAAGTGACATCCATTTCCTGCTCTACGACTGTTCACCCCTTCTTAAGTCACAGTCTCCCACATCAGCATAGCCAGCCGCTGAAAGCCATCCTTGGTGGCTGCGGGTGGGCCTGCTAGTGTGACACATTGAACTTGTGTGAAACAATTCGGAGGTTGCCGGGTTTCCCATTAAGCGATTCCCACTACGGGACCCACAAAAAAACTCTATTTGCTGCCTCCCCTGCTCTCGTACAACATAACGCTTGACCTCCGGTATCCCATATGTCCTATCGTTTAATTAACCACAGACTGGATTGACCCCCCTCCCCGAGCCGGGTCGAGCACGTTGACAATTTGTTTAACCTGCGGCCCGCAACGAGGTGCCCTCGACGGAGGGTACCCACCGCCAGGCTCGTCAAACCTGGATCCAGTGGCACCGCGAGACGGTGTCCCGTGTCGCGTAACCCCCCCACCACCACCCCACCACCACCCACCAACACCACCAGCGACGTCTCTTTGTCGCCGAGGTCATTAATCACATTAGAGGAGAGCGGGCAGCCTCGCTGAAGAACCCCCCTGTTGGCATTCGCCGCACAATCGCTGAGTGCCTCCACCACCCACCCACCACACTTCCCCATCTACCCACCCACCACACCTCTCCACCCACCAACCCACCACACCACCCCACCCACCACACCACCCCACCCACCCACCACACCACCCACCACACCTCACCACCCACCCACCACACCTCTCCACACCCCCCCCCCACCCACCACACCTCCCCACCCACCCACCACACCTCCCCACCCACCTACCACACCACCCCACCTACCCAACACACCTCCCCCCCCCACCCACGACACCTCCCCACCCACCCACCACACCTCTCCACCGACCACACCTCTCCACCCACCACACCTCCCCACCCACCCACCACACCCCTCCACCCACCCACCACACCTCTCCACCCACCACACCACCCACCCACCAACCCACCACACCCCCCCCCACCCACCACACCTCCCCACCCCCTACCACACCACCCCACCCACCCACACACACCTCCCCCCTCACCCACGACACCTCCCCCCCACCACACCTCTCCACCCACCACACCTCTCCACCCACCGCTCCTCCCACCCACCCACCCACCACACCTCCCCACCCACCCACCACACCTCTCCACCCACCCACGGCAAGGCACGCGCGGTATGAGCCGTAATGGGGTCGGCCGGCACGGCGGACCGAGAGGGGTTCTGTCCGTCTGTCAGCGCGGCCATTGGCTGGGCGCGTGGGACAGGGACACGGACTTAGTGGATGGGGAGGGGGGGGACACGGACTTAGTGGATGGGGAGGGGGGGACAGGGACACGGACTTAGTGGATGGGGAGGGGGGGACAGGGACACGAATTTAGTGGATGGGGAGGGGGGGACAGGGACACGGACTTAGTGGATGGGGAGGGGGGGGGACAGGGACACGGACTTAGTGGATGGGGAGGGGGGGACAGGGATACGGACTTAGTGGATGGGGGACACAGACTTAGTGGATGGGGAGGGGGGGGACAGGGACACGGACTTAGTGGATGCGGAGTGGGGGGGACAGGGACACGGACTTAGTGGATGGGGAGGGGGGGGACAGGGACACGGACTTAGTGGATGGGGAGGGGGGCAGCATGGAGGCTGAATTAATGCCGCGCGATAAGAAGCAGACGACGGAAATGCCCCTATTGGCGGTCTTCGGTAAACACACGAAAATAACAAAAACACCGCCCATCACACCTGCTCTGCTCAGCAGCACGTCTCCCTGCTGCTGCTGCTGGGGGCAGGTGTGAGAGTCTGGGGGGGGGGGGGGTGTTCACGTTGTGTGTGGCCACTCTCACTGCCTGCATAGGACCCATCTCCCCCCGAGTACCTCCACTCTGCGTGGGTGCCGCTCTCTAAATGCCGACCCTGTTTGTACATTTCGTTTCTGCGCCTCCATTAGGGACTAATTTGGCTATCAGTAGACCTTCATGTGGGGTGTGTTTAAAACTCTTATCTGACTGTGATGACTGTGAATGCAAGACATAGGGGTTGTGTGTTATCATGGAGGCTGTCTGTTACACAATTGCACGTGCTTGGGCCAATAGGTTTGAACAAGCAACAGATGAGAGTAAATGGGTCGTACTCACAAGGGTGTAGATGGAGCAGATTGTGTCAAAGCATTGGAACGCCATCTACAGTGTTAAACAACTTAGATAACTAGTGTTAACTCATCGAGTTATGTCAGGTTGTTGAAAGTACACATTTGTAATTAATACATTGAATGGAACTTTAAGTATAAACCGCTGTCACCGCCCAATACTACAAGGCACCTCAACCTCACTGTTTTCCCTAAGTGCAGAGCCCGCATTGCCTAATCAACGTAATCATCGTCACGCATATCACTGCGGCAACAAACTAACAAACGGACACCCGCCTGCCCGTGCACAACACGATGTTTGTGTTCGTACGCCGAACTTCTTTCGCACCGTACGTAGCCAACCGCGCCGATCGGAGTGTGCGACGTCGCACGGAGAGACGGACACCGCGTTTTGTCGCTTTCGCGTGAACCCTGTCGCTCACGCTTGCGTTTTGCCGACCTCCCCCCCACCGCCGCTGACCTCTGCCCAGCCGACGCGGTGTCGTCGACGTCGTCGGAGAGCTCCGTCTACTCCCCCTGCCGAGATCGCCGAGATTGCCGCGCGGGCCAATGAGCTGGACCTCTCCCGCAAGGCCCTGCACACGGAGACGGACTCCAACAAGGATGACTGCGGTACGGTTGCCACCCGCCACCCGTCCTGGTTTTCCCAGGACGTCGTCTTTTGGAAATGTAAAAGTGCCGATTGCTGTCAGTTGCACAGTAATCATAATAATATGCTACTTTAGTTTTTTTGCCACGTTCTGACCTGCCCCTTATTGGATATCTGTGAAAAAGATCTTCATAGCTCATCGGATTCCTCGAGTAGAACGAAATATTCTGATTCTGAAATAAATTCTGGTGACAATCCACTTAGATGTAGTTTTCCCGTCCCGTGGTTTATTGTGGGATACCCTTCTCCCCGTGGTACGTTTCTGGGCTTTTTGATCCTCAGAGATGACGACTGAAAATGACGGGGAAGATATCCACCCAAGCGGCGGCAATGACATCGTCGAGAATGGAACCGACAACGGCAGCAGTGATGCCACCACTCACCTCATCGAGCAAGGTCCGTAACCCCCCCCCCCCCCAACTGACTTTGTCCAACCCATGTGCTGCTCATTAAAGGGCCAGGTTAGCCTTAGGATGCAGCTCAATTCAAAATGCATTTGGATCAGCCAAATGAACAGCACGCATCGGGACGTAAATCGGCCCCAAGTGGCTCTTTGGCATCGTGCATTGAATCGTGTCCCCTGATCACAGTGGCATTTTGCGTGGTTGGCACGGGTCCTGGTGCGAAATATGAAATGGGGCCTCTTCTCGTCTGTTTTACCTCTTCATAGCCTGGAATCTCGGCCCCTCTGGCCTGTGAGTTCCTGGCAAAGTTGCACCGCTTGCACACTCGCTAGCTACACTACATCCTGCTTAGGCGTCAGGCTGTGGTGCAACTAGCGACTATGACTGCGAATTCCTGGTCATTCTCGCAGCAGCTTTTGGATAGCCATCAAACAAAGACTGCATCACGCGATTTCAGATGTCTGGAACGCTCTTCCTTCCGATATTAGGAAGCCACTGGAGCTATGCACTTTTAAATAATCTAGATTGAACACTCAATTCTTTAGAAGTGTTTTTTGTGTTTAGTTTGTTGTCCTTCCCCCGCACCTCCGATTAACATGGTTGGCTGCATACGGTGTGAAAGAAGTTCAACACACATGCATACATACTACGAAGTGTCTTAAATGCACGTCCTTATTTACTGTATCGTGTCTTGCGATGCAATTGCATTTGGATGCTACGCGAGTCCAAGCTACACTGTGTCTTGCATTGACCATTCTGCTGTCGTGAGAAGGTGCAATCTGAGTGCACAAAAGCACACTTTGGACACCATCCGGTTTATTCCAATAAAATGCAGAGCACTGCGCATTCACGGACCATTGACCGCTGTCTAATTGCCTCATCCAAATTAATTTAGACTGCCCCGGGCCTTGTTACTGTAATCAATCGAATAGCGATATACATCATATACATTCCCTCTGCACCAGGCCTTGCTGACTTATCTACCAACATTGCTTTCACCAGGTCCAAACGAAAGCGCAAAACATTCTCCCCCTCTGCCCCGCCCTGGTTAGTACTTAGATGGAAAAACCTTTGGGAATACCAGGTGAGTTAGGTTGTGCAAGCTGGCCAGAAGATGGTAGTGTAGCAATGGATTATTGAATCTAGCTACGCATAGTTTTTGAGTATTACCCCACTGTAGGCATGGGTATTCTCCAGATACCTCAGTTTCCTGCCACATGCCAAACCTATTCACGGAATTTGCCACACATCCCAATCTATGTCGGCATGTTGAACTTCTTACGCTCCGCACGTAGCCAACCGTGCGAAGGCGGGAACCCTCCTGGTGAAAAAAAAAAGACTTGGAGGTTCACTGAGGCTTACCTGGGTAAATAAAGGACATGAAGATCCATACTTCACTGGCATACACAGCAGAGGTGACGCATTCAAATCTAAGTTTTTAAAAAAAGCCAGCTCCTTTGCGCTGCGAATTCCCCAGCGAATCGGCCATTATGCTTTCTCACTCACCGGCACGACTACTGTGCTCGCCACGACATCTCTTTACGTTTTTTTTATTATTTTTCTTGTACTGCCGTCCCCGTAAATGTTGGCGCATTGCACGGCTTCTCTATGGGTCATGCGAGCCACGGCGGAGCTTAATGGGCTTTAAGCACAAAGACGCTCCCGGTTCGTTGAGCCTGGGCAATTTTTCGAGCAAGACTCCCCGCCGCAGGTTTGCCGGGAGCCATTGGCAGTGAGATTTTGCAAGAGAGGGATTAATTGACTGGAGGGTTGTATAAAACGCCTTCTTAACAAGAGTGAGAACTTCGAATTTTTTGCCGACGGATGCCCCACCGAGGTTTTTGAGGCCCTTTCACAGGAGTGTTGCCATTGCATTGGAAAAGTTGGATAGATTCTTTGGAGGTATTCTTGTGCATGTGGCAGGAAACTGTAATGCCTGGAGAAACGCCCCCCCCGGCCCCATGCAAAAGACAGAAGAACACTCAAATTCCATATGTATAGTCTATCAGGACTCTGTTGCTGGTGAATGTCACCATAGATTGTAGACCGAGACTAACCACTTACCCTCTCACTGTTGAGCTGCTAGACCGAAGCTGGAGGGCATTTACTTGAACACGGTTGCCGTTTGCTTCACAGTGTGCAACCATTTTCGAAATTCAGAACAATTTTTGAACCAATGTTTCAATGCCGAATTTATGAGGGGCATTTGGAGGCCACAATCTGTGGAGCAGCTGTGACGGCGCACACGAGAGGGCATATTTGCCGCGCCACGCTTGTGGGAATTCACCGAGCCCCCGAAAGAACGCGTCGTGACAGCTCCTTCGTGTACGCACCCCTTTAACGGCCGCTGAAAGATGGCCGGTCGCAACTGGCTGCCTCGAACCCGGTCGCCCTAGCCGTCCCCACAAAACTGCAAGAAAACCGACTGCTGGAGAAATGGGGGGGTGGTAGGTCAAGCGGCGTGAATTTCATTCTCCCCTCCCCAACTCGCCGTCCTGCAGGTCCTTCCGTGGTTCCACCTGCTTTGGGGAGCTGCGGAAACCCATGGGAGAGCTCCCCCCTGGCTGAGTGACGAATAGGCAAAGTCGGTCATTACTGTAGCAATGGCCTTCCCTCCCCGAGCCCGCGATTGATGCTGCGAAGTTGCTCCGCCAACAGATGGGTTTTTGATGACGGAGCTCTCTGTCAAATGAGCCATTTTGGATGCGGCTTCGCTCAGTGTCCCCGTCTCCTCCAGGCGGTGGCGACCCCGCTCGTAACGGGAAGATCCTAATGGCAGAGAGCTGACGGAGATAAAGTGATTCATTATGTCCTGAGCACAGAGGATCAGAAACACTCAACGCACTCATCATTAACGCAGCCACATACCAGAAAGATATACAGGGTATTGGCGCTACTGCAGAGCAGAGGGATGTCCCATTGCTCTGAAGAAAGGCCAATGCTTCAACATTAGCCTACGATATATATATTTTATGTTACAAGGCAGTGTTTATGATTAATGCAGTGAGTATTTACGATTTGCGCACCACTCCCATTGTAAACCATTATTCGCAGGCAGTCTCCCATCCAAGTACTAACCAGGATAAACCCTAATTAGCTTCCGAGAATTGGTGAGTTTGGGTACAGTCAAGGTCATTTTGTCACAGACAAATGCACTCTATGGTCCACTTTTGTACTTTCAGGTTTTAATGCATTTCATATCCACTATGACAGAAGGGGATACTTTGAAAATGCGCCACAATGTTACTGAGATCTAAATAGTGAAACTGCTAACATGCCCATTGGGAAGCGCGCTGACCTCTCAGCTGCCCGGATCTGCTCAAAATACTGCAAATGCTTTTCTTCTTGTCTGCAGATTCTGAGGTTGATGGAGCGGTCGTTCATCCATAAGTCTTCCCACAGATGTACAGGGAACACACCATGCAGGTAACCAACTGAGCACAGCCACCACAATCCCTGCTCGCGCGCGCACACACACACACAGAGAGCTGTCCCACCGCGTGGCTGGCCCATTAGGAGTCACAATGAAATGTTTGCAGGGAAACTACACCTGTTCTGGGCTGGTGGGAATGTTTAGTAATGACATGCAGCTCTTTCATGACTCATTTACAAAGGTGGGGCCATTCTTTCCCAAAGGCTACTATATTTCAGACCCTACTGGACTGAACAAACATGCGTCATGTTTGGAAAATGCAGAGCCCAAACTCAAAATATTTAACAACCGACCATTGCTGACATTTTTTGTTGTTGCCAGTTCATGAGTCGTTTACACTGCACGGTTCAATGCCAGAGGTCATGACCCGAACTTAGAGAAAGGTTTACAGTGAACCCTGATAAACTTCGGTTTGACACTCGCCTGTGAGTGGTGTTTAAAAAAGAACGGTTAAAAAAAGCATGCTTATTGTGCACTCTGTGGGGCGTTCTGAGCATGTCAAAAGCAACTACGACGTCTCCGAGTAGAGAGACGCGGAGTGGTGGAGGATGCGTCCGGAGGTGGGGCACACACTGGACGAGGGTCCATCAGGCCATTTCGCCGATGCGTACAAAAACACTTTCCAAATTCCCGCAATGAGTCCAGTTTCTCCGCATCAGTCCAGCCTCCCTGCATCTTTAGCGTTCCCCAGTCCCGTGCACGTTAAACAGTGGCACGGGCTTACGTCTGCTCACAGCTCGACTTGTGAATTAGAGGGTTCCTGTTTAGAAATATGCTGCAAATCCTTACACAAGAAAATACTGTGAGCAAAGTGACAGCGATTATATTAAGCAATAGGGCTATTTCTTGTTCAAACAGTATCTTGACCAAGTCTCCTTTTAAACATAAACTCACGTGAGTGAATTACATCGTTGTAAACTAAACTAAAAACGAAACCATTTTTAACTAAACAAAATTTATGTTACCAGGTAAGTCCCACTGAGCTACACAGCTCTTTTTCAGAAGACACCTACCCACAAATGATAGCTGAACGAAGTGGCTTATCATGTGGCAATTTATAGCAGCCAACTACTCTAAGACGCATGTTTCTAAATGTGGAGGGAAAAACCGGAGCACCCAGAGAAAAATCGACGTGACCACGAGGACAGAGAGAGAGAGACACGCAAACTCTAAATACACAGCAGCAGGCATCAGGGTCGGGATCGAACCCACGGCCTCCTGCACACCAGGCGAGGTAGTTAACAACTCATAGCCACCGTGATGCTGATGAGAGAGAGAGACACGCAAACTCCAAATACACAGCAGCAGGCGTCAGGGTCGGGATCGACCCCACGGCCTCCTGCACACCAGGCGAGGTAGTTAACATATCATAGCCACCGTGATGATGATGATGATGAGAGAGAGAGACACGCAAACTCCAAATACACAGCAGCAGGCGTCAGGGTCGGGATCGAATCCACGGCCTCCTGCATACCAGGCGAGGTAGTTAACATCTCCTAGCCACCGCGGCGAGATGTTAACCTTCTAGATAATAATAAATGGTGTTTCCAAAGTAGCTCCTGACCTTTGAATTTTGACAACCAATTTGAGTGTTTACCCACGCTGAGGCTTAGAGGCCAAACGCCTCTCATGGCTTCCGGCCCTCGCCTCAAATAATCAATTTCCTCCGGCGATCTTTAAAGTTGTGTTTTCAGGGATTATGAGACAAGGGCTCACAACACTCACAAGATTACAACAGCAAAAAACCCACAAAACCTTTCGTTTTTCAAGTTTGAAGGTAGATGTAATTATTAAGATATGTGCTGCTTTAAAAAAATCTACTTTTTTATGTCTTACATGAATATTTATACGACTCTAAAAAATGAAAAGCAATTCATCAATGATTTATCAAGGGAAAATGCACGTTTATACAGGGTATGGCAAAAGTCACGGATCACTCTCTCTTACAGTAAATTAAGACACATGCTCTCTTGCAGTAAATGATAGCGTATGCTTAAGCTCTGTATGACTTGCTTGGACACACATCTCAATCCGCGTCATGCGGGCTTGCTTTAAGCATTGCTCATTCAACAGGTCCACGTTGATATTCGCGCACTCAGCTCGTCTTTTCAATAACAGCAGCAATATGTGGAGTGCGCCGTTCTGAAATCGCTATGAATCCTGACTTTTGCCACACCCTGTGGATACGCGTATCTTGCGTGCATACCAGCGGGACATTTGTGCAGGAATCTGTTTTGATTAGAGCCGGCTTCTAAAATAACTATGCCCGCCCATCAAAATTAAGGAGGGTGTGCTCCTGTTGGGAAAAAGCCTGCACTGTAAAGCGTGTGGGAGTCACCCACTCCAGCCCCCAGTGGAATTCCTTACCTGGTGAGTACACCTGTGATCGATGAACACCGCCATGTCTGGCTTGTTCATTAAAGGTACGCATTTGGTCAGGGCGAGCTCTGAAAAGCTGCAATGATGAGCACTTCTGTCTGTTGTTTTAAGGTCTCGTCCTCCCCTTTCATCGTTAAAATAACCAGTCGCTGCGCTAAAACAAGTGGGCGCTGCTCTGTGATGGTAACGGGCATGCTATATCACGAGGCTAGAAATGCCAAAGACATGACCAGTGCCTCGATTGGCTTATTTGTGCCGTGGTATCGGCGAAAATTAGGGTTGGCAAGCCTTTCTTTCTCTTTGCTTTCTCTCTTCATATTATCCATGTACGTGTTCGAAATTGGTCTGGGCTTCTGCTAGGTTTACTCAGCCTAATATGAGTAGCTGCTGCGGTGTGTCTACACTCTACACAATCAGGCGCACGTGGTTCTTGTCACGTGACACGCCAACAGAACTCATACTGGCAGTGTGTGCAGATAGAAAGCATGTAACTTTGTTCCTTTTTATGTACATATGTAGTTTTATGTAGAACATGTAGGCAGTGTAATATATGGATTATTTTTGGGGCTCACGATGAATGCGTACAATTGTGTAATTAGCAATAGCTGATTTACACTTCGTGAGAATTATAGGAGAAAATATCAGCACATGGACCTTTAGGCTAATCAAAGAAAAAATACAGAATAAGCAAAACAGACTAAACAAGACCGACGATACAAAACAGTGGACAAATTAGACAAAAAGTTTGCACAAAAGCACGACTCCGGATCGTGGCAGTCCATCGCATAACCAGGGAGTGGGGACAAGGATCGTTACATGTCTAACAGCATGTACACTGTGACCGCAAAATCCTGAGCCTGTAGGCTAACAAACGGACCAAAATCCCACCAGTAAATCATGTTTAAGCGGCCACAGGTGCTGCGTGAAATGTGTCGTACTCTGCTTATGTAGCAGGATCAGTCTGTGGCCCTCTCAGGCATGGGCCAAGCACAGCCTGATCATCACCTGAACAAACCCTGCTGCCCCATGCCAAATTAGGGGCTTGTTACCGCCTGATTGATGGTGTCATAACATGCACGAAAAAAGCACGCATACTTGTGTGTATGTGTCGCCAGTTAATTTTAGACCGCTATGAAATTCATGAATGCCTGTGTATAGTGATGTGTGCTTCATAGCCAGGGAGGCTGTCTCTTTGAAGTTACGAATAAGAGTGGAAATGACACTGCACGCGATGACTTCATGATGCAATGTGTCCCCGTGTATTGGTGCAGTGGTGAGCGCACCGTGTTGTGACTCCAACTAGCCGAGTTCAATTCCTGACCGTGGCTAACATCAGTGGTGAGCGATATCAGAACCGGTCCTTTGCCCCCCTCCTTCACCAATCCATACACACCAGCGTGGTGAAGTATGGTCAAACAACTTCATCACAAAGGGCTGTTTATAATTATTGTTATTATCACATGCACGTATAACGATCGCCGAAATTATATTACGCTTAATGGATGATAGGTTGGTGGCAGGAACAAATGTATGTCACATTTTCTCCAGGTGAATAATGGCAGCTAAGTATTGCGTGGTGTACCTTCAGCCCTTTGTAAATGCTTTGATAGAAGAAGCCCTCCCCACACTGTCGGCCATGGGGGTTGTTTGACCATACTTCACCACGCTGGTCAGTGTGGTATGCAGGACAATTTCGGATATCACTCAGGTTGGGAATCGAACTCAGGTCACCAAGTCCATAACACAGTGCGCTAACCACTCTGTAAACATGCCATGTATACACTCTACAAATACTATAACATGAACTTAAATTGATGTAGGTGTTATCGATCGGTAATATCCATGAGAGAAAAGAGATGTGTATATTGTGGAAATCTAAACACGAGAAGCGACTTGAAAATGTTGACAACTCACGGGAAAGCTGATCCAAGAGCTGATCGCAGCAGACCAGGGAGTGACCCATGTCCATCAGGTGAACGTTGAGAAGAGGTTTAGAGGGAAGCCAGTGTTTCCTGTGGCATATGTGCCCAGTGAGAGAATCGGAGAAGATTCAATCAAACAGGTTAGTACTAAAAACTAGGCCGAGCTTAATGCTATTCATATTTTATCAAGTTGGGGTGAATAGTGTCAACATTCAGAGGTGCCTCCAATTCAACCAAGAGTAATGGGGCATCCGAATATATCCCAGTAGCTCAGGGAGACAGGGAGTGTGAGAGAGAGAGATTAAGTATTTTCCTTACACAGGCCGGACTTCCCTTTTGAAGTGGCAGCTGCGTCATAAAGTGTGGGCTCAGTGAAAGCTTCGACAGGGCGAGGCATGGCCGTGAGACATAGGTTGTCTACCCACAATTCATCCACTGCTGTATTTAGATGTGGGGAGAGGGGTAGGTTTGGAGGGATGGGGGGGGGGCAGATATTGTAAATCACGGGTGGTCAGCTCCTAAACATGGTTTTGTGCTTCAGGCGATCCATATAATGCCGTGGGACAGTGGCCTCGTAATAAACTCTGAGACCACCGCAAGCCAGAAGGTATGGTAGGGTTTCAAGTGGGCAAGCTTTTGGCTCATTGCCCCTCCCCTGATCCCATGCTGCAGGTGCTAAATTAACTTGATGT